ATCTCCTAAGAGTAGGAGACATAGAGTGGATCTCAAATCAAACCACCCACCCCTCACGTCATATACATACTTTCAACACTGTACACAGGTTAACAATGACAGAACGATACTTGGTTATTGTAATGAGTTCCAAGAAAGTAGAAACACAATCGTATGACAAACTAGAGCTGGTGAGTCAATGAGTGATCTGGCCACATATGGGTACACGGTACGATCGATTGAAATTAGCGCTCGTGGCTAAGGCTCCGGTATTAGTAACAAACCATCAATTCAGGTCGAGAAAAGTGCATTAGCACGTGAGAACACGCAAGACAATACGCGAGAAACTGTGGGAGAATGAGAGGCGTTGCCATTATAGTAAACAATCACGTCACTGAACGTAGGCAAGACAGACAAGCAATTCAAGAGCGGCAGCTTTTAAAAAATTAAGACTTACCTAAACAAACAAAACGCCCGCGGCTGCAATATAATAATCCTGATTTTGTGTTTTGTGGAATTTATACACGAATAACTTTACGTTTATTGCCATAGAGATTATTGCCGACAGATTTTCCTCTCCTTCAGCTATCTTTATATCTGTCAAAACGACGAACACACCAACCACACCACAGATTTTTTTCTCTATGACTATCTGTACCTCAGAACATTTAAATAAAGACCATTATCTTTGTATTTAAAAATATATATATCTATGTCCACATGTGGTCCACATAGTATATTAGACCGATGCAATGCGACCTTTCAGAATAAGATGATATAGTATTTAGAACGTTTAACGTGTTTTGTTTTTGGTAAATCCATGTAGAAAGAATTGGTAATTCAAAATTCTTTCATCATCATCATCAGCCCTTTTACGTCCCCACTGCAGGGGCTCAGGCCTTCCTTATGGATGGTTAAGGAGGATGGGCCATGACCCTCCACGCTGGCCCAATGCGGATTGGAGGGTATTAACAACTGCAAATGCAGCCGGGACCAACGGCTTAACGTGCCTTCCGAAACACGGAGTAGCTCGAGATAATCATTTTTTGGTCACCCATCCCGTGACCGACCCTTGCGAAAGTTGCTTAACGACAACGATCACGGGCCGCGGCGCTTATCCACTACGCCACCAAGCTACTAAAAGTCTTTGATTAAAAGTATTTATATAATCACCTAAGTATAGTTGGCAGAATGAGGCAGTATTTAAAAAGTAAAAATTAGTTCTTGAAATCATACTAGATGTCACTCGCGATGTTTGGATTTTGTTTATGATATTCATTCAAATTTTGTTTCTAATGTAAAAAAAAAGTAAATTGAGTATCGAAAATTAATTACTATGACATCGTTTTGTGTTTCTTATAATATCTAACTTTCAAATTAATTTTAATTTATTTTAATCGTAAGTTTAAGTTGTTTATTATATTACGTGGAAAGGAACGATATTTGGTTATACGTCAACATTAGTGATGAGCCAACTTATTGGTTGCTCATAACTTTCATCCGAATTCAGGTTTGGAATTAAGAACAAAAAGTGGAGCGCAGGATTCAGCTTGTATTTGTATCTGTCATTATTATGCATCCACAGAATGAATGATATTAATATAAATATCAAAATCAATTCAGTCTAGGCTGTTACATATTACTTGTAAAAGTCGAAAACTTTGCCAATGGTTCGCAAAACTAAGGCGGGAGATCTCTTACTGACAAGAATCGGCAAGAAAGTCAGCAAGGGCTGCTTTTTTATTTATACTATATGTTGCCGACAGCCTTACCATGCTTTTGAAATATTATTACTGGCCTCTTTAAGTAGGTTTTAATACTTGTTTTTAATTTATATTTTTTTTATTTTTTGACTTTGTCAATGTATCGTGCTTTTTTTGTACGTTGATTAATAAATGTCTCTCTGTGCTAAAAATTATTATTATTTAATTATATACAGTCCTCTGTTCTTGCTGTCGATTACACTATATTTGAGGGAACGTAACGACCTAACGCACGCGACACCACCGCAGAGATTTTAAGAGAGCATGACTACTCTAGGTACTTAGTAAACAATATATTTCAATAAAACTGATTTCTAGAGTAGGTTGTGTAGGAAGTCAATCTATTATTAACAATATTATTGTAAGCACCAAAAAGCAAATACCCACCGAACGAATTAAGTTAATATATGGCTCGACGTCCGCCGTCGACATGCAAGATCAGTAGCAATAGTATAATAACTGTACGTGTCTTTATGATTTTGAAATTAAAAGTTATAACTTTGCTGTTCGTTTAGAACAGACTTTTCTTGTTAATTGCTGAATGTTTATTAAGAAGATTTAATTATGAAGTCTTAATTTCGAAAGCACTGGTTATTTGCACGTTCCACTTCGCACTAATGTTATTTTTGCCAGAAGTCATGTTATTTGGTACGACTACATAGTATATTTGATACATATTGGGTGGGTATATAGATAATAAGCGGAATTGTAAGTTCAACAAACAACTAATAGCAATAAAACTAACTTACCTAGTTGTTATTGTTTCCAGAACTTTTGTTAAATATTATAATTAAAAATTCCTAGACATACTATGGCATAAGTATTTTTTTATAAAAACTATTTGCTGGTAATATTATTGTATACCGTAGCTAAATGCCACTTTTAATTATATCACAGTATTAATTCAATTGATTACCATAAATTTAAAAAAACCTCCGTGCTCTTTCATTATGTTAGTTTCCATTTTCCTTTATACAGTTAAAAAAGAAATTTATCAAAATATTACTTTGTATTAATCGAGTTGCGTTTGCATAACTCGAACTAGTTAAATTTCAACTCGATATTAATCCGAGTTATCAGATCCATAACAACACTGACAATTCTATTCTCTTCGGTTTAATGTCGTGAATGAGGAAATATTTAAAAAATAAAAATTAGTTCTTGAAATCATACTAGATGTCACTCGCGATTTTTGGATTTTGTTTATGATATTCATTCAAATTTTATTTCTGACGTAATAAATGTAAATTGAGTATTTTTGATTAATAAATATGACATCGTTTTGTGTTTCTTATAATATCTCACTTTCAAACTAATTTGAATTTATTTGAAGTTTAAGTTTAAGTTGTTTATTATGTTACGTGTAAAGGAACGATGTTTGGTTGATACGTCAACATTAGTGATGAGCCAACTTATTGGTTGCTCCTAACTTTCGTTGAATTCAGGTTTGGAATGGAGAACAAAAATGATGATGAAGATGAAGTGTCATTATGCATCCACAAAACGAATAATATTTACATAAATATCAAAATCAATTCAGTCTAGGTGTTACATAGTACTTGTAAAAGTCGAAAACTTTACCAATGGTTCGCAAAACTAAGGCGAGAGATCTCGTACTGACAAAAAACGGCAAGAAACTCAGCAAGGGCTGCTTTTTTTATTTCAACTAAACAACTCAACTTACTATATTTGAGGGAACGCAACCACCAACGCACACGATACCACCGCAGAGATTTTAAGAGACCATAACTACTCTAGGTACTTAGTAAATAATATATTTCAATAAAACGGATTTCTAGAGTAGGTTATGTAGGAAGTCAAACTATTATTAACAATATTATTGTAAGAACCAAAAAGCACAAACCCACCGTACGAATTAACTTAATACATAGCTCGACGTCCGCCGTCGACATGAAAGATCAGTAGCAATAGTATAATAACTTTGTGATTTGAAATTTAAAGTTATAACCTTGCTGTTTGTTTAGAGCAGACTTTTCTTGTCTATTGCTGAATGTTTATTAAGATGATTTAATTATGAATATAAGATTTAATAACTAATAATAGTTTTATAATGTCCTAATTTCGAAAGCACAAGTTATTTGCACGTTACACTTTGCACAAACGTCATTTTAGCCAGCAGTTATGTTATTTTGTACGAATGCATAGTATATTTGATACATATCGGGTAAGTTTATAGATAATAAACGAATTTTTTTATAATAATTATCGTTTTTATGACTTTTGTTTTTGATTAATAAACCCTATTCATACATTCACCGTACATAATATAAAAATATTATTGAAACTTGATGTAGTTTTGTTGTTGTAAGTTCAACAAACAACTAATAGCAATAAAACTAACTTACCTAGTTGATATTTTTTCAGAACTTTTGTTAAATATTAAAATGAAAAATTCCTAGACCTACAATGACATAAGTACATTTTTTATTTATAAAACTATTTGGCGGTAATATAATTGTATACCGTAGTTAGATGCCACTTTTAATTATATCACAGCATTCAATTGATTTCTATAAATTTAAAAAACCACTGTGCTCACTTCCATTATGTTAGTTTCCATTTTCCTCTATACAAAAAAAAATAAATTTATTCAAAGATTACTTTCTATTAATCAAGTTGCGTTTGCATAACTCGAACTAGTTAAATTTTAACTCGATATTAATCCGAGTTATCAGATCCATAACAACACTAACAAATCTATTCTCTTTGGTTTAACGTCATGAATTGACGTTTAGATCCAACAATTTGTGCTGCCATCTAGTGACACAATTTTCTGTAGTTTCTTTATTTTTTTTAAATACTTCCTCATTGATGTTTAGATCCAACAATTTGTGCTGCCATCTAGTGATATAAATTTTTGTAGTTTCTTTATTCTTTTTAAATACTACCTCAGTGTGATTGACGCAAAGTAACCATTAAAGATACTAGAAGAAATCGTGGCAACCCTGTATGTGAAATATGTGAAACATGTGAATCTGTATAACGACGTTTTCGCAGTTGACTACGATACTGTACTGACAAAGACGCAGCTATTTTATCAAACCTTGTTTGTTAATAACACTGATAGAGGAGATAACCTATAAGTTATTCCCATTATTTCTAGTATTATTTTTTAGATTTCTTATTGTTGGTATTTTTTATATCGATATAACGATTTCAATGGCTTATGATATCGTTTATATATCGGTTTTGTGAAATAACGTAACGTTTCATCGCATCACTAATTAAATGTCAAACCAGTGTCAAACAAAAACCAAAACAATTGGTTAATATCATAATTATTATAAATTCTCTGAAAACTAACAAATATCGGTCTTTAGAAAGACCCAAGTCGATGGATATGATGTCGGGGACTAAATTAGACGTAATTTGGTCACCTATCCATCACGATAAATTCATATTGTGGGGCTCAGACATAACCCTGTATCAGGTATCTCGTTTAAAAGATATCGAGAAGAAAACTACTTGTAAGTGTTGTTACTGGGAGCAGTTTAAATAACTGTATAGATAAATCGTTTATTTTATCACGTCAATCAGGACATTTTAGAATAATTATTGTCAAATGTTTTTTCCAGACACCCAAATTTCTTCAATAAGAGGTGCGACAGTTATCGCATCACAGAGTGCTAATGGAGTACGTTCTGTTGATATCAGTGCTATCCCTGAACAGCCAGAACCATTGCTGGCATTGGGTCACGCCAATGGTAGAGTCTCTCTCGCAAGCTTAAAACAGGCCTATGACCCTCTAGGCATTGTTGGAAGGGAGTTCAGTAAGTGTTTCTAATATTATCTATATTTCAATATATATAGATAGATATGATTTATATTATATTCACCAAATAAAAAATAAAAAATCTTTTTCATTTATTTCTGTAAATATAAATATGTAATAGAATTGTTATAAAATATGAATAGTAATTTTTTTAATAATATTAATATATTAATGTTACATACTTTATATGTTTATATATTGACAATTCTAACAGTGAAAATGTTTTTTTAGACCCACGTTACCCTCGTCTATGCAATTCAGTGTCTTGGAGCCGTGAGGAGAGCAATTTGCTTGCAGTTGCTATGGAGAAGCACCGTAGTGACCATTGTATACTAATTTGGGATGTGAATAAGGGGTCCAGCCCACCTGATGAAACTCAAAGTAATAACTTGTTCTTTTAATTGTATTCATTTTACTAAGATCAATAATATTATATAGATGTTAGGAAGCCAACACTAAGTAAACTGCAACACCAAAATAACATATTTTATCATTACAAATAAAAAGTGTATTAGAATTACTTATTTGTACATGCAGATTCGGTCATGGCACAATCTGACAATGCCAAGCCGGTTGCAGAGATGGGTCTCTCGGAGACAGCTCACAGTGTGTCCTGGTCCAATCGGTCGAACCGCACTCTTCTGGCTAGCATGAATCTCAAGTTTATTAAAATTTTTGATCTCAGGGGTGAGTCACAGTCATATACAGTTTTATAATCATACTAATATTGTAGAGAGGAAAGATTGTTTACATCGAAAGCACTGGACCAATTTTTAAAATTATTTCACTTTGGGAAGTTATTTGCTCCTTAATTAAATATTTTCATTAAATATTTTCTGGAAACTAACAGCTAAGCAAGAAATATAAAAACTTAAATGAAACAATTTTTAAATGGTTTCATCGTGTTTGTATTTAGTTTTATTGACGTTTCAGACGCTTCACAGGTTCCGTGTTCACATAAGACTAAGGTGTTGCTTGTCTTTTTATTATAGAGTAAAGCTACCTTAAAACCAATATTATTAGACACATTTACAATGTATAAAATTTTTTATTTTATAGCAACACTTACATTTATTAAATTGAATTATTTTAAAAATACATTTGACTTGCTACTGTAATCTACCACCAGTTCCAAATTTGAGAGTCTTGTTGGAGAAGAACTGACAAAACAAACTACAACAAGAAAAGTAAATCGCTCCCTTTAATTTAATATTTACATAATGAACTAACGCAATGAAACCGTTCAAAAGTTGTTTCGTCTATGGATAGTGATAGTAGTAATAATATAGAACTTATTAAGCTCAATAAGGCCAAAAAGTTTTCACAAATAAACAAAAGATTAAAATAGACAATTAACGCCAGGTTTCTGAATTGAGTATTTACGTTGTTTCAAAATGTATTTAAACGTAACAACTTAAGTTATTGAGAATAAGGTTATGATTAACGCGGGCGGTGGCGCGGGAAATCAGCTATTGAATGACTGGGGTCACAGCGATGTGGCGAGTGAGCGTGAAGTTGATATGTTGTGGCGGTAGACTGGTCCAACAAGGGCGTGGCGGTGGCGACGTCCCGGTACTGCCACGGCGCGGTGGCGGAGCCGCTGAGTGGATGGCAGGTGGCATCGCGCGGCGACCACGTGGTCTGCGTGTGGGATGCGCGCGCGTTCAGCCGCCCGCTGCTCACGCTGCCCCAGCAAAGGCCCGTCACCAAGATACAGTGGTGCCCCACCAGGTACCTACCTCCTGCACTCTAATGTACTGCCTATATACTTCATTCACATGTTGTCTTATTTCCAGTCAATAGAGAAGTATTTTACGTGTCCTGATCGACGCATCATAACAAAAAATATACAAAAAATGTAAATACATCGTTCAATGAATAAATGCAACAAACCCATTAGAAAAAGTTGCATCTTTCTTTTTTTATTGAAATTTTAGTAGATATAATTTTGAAATTGTTAAACTTTTAAGTGGTTCATTCGACAGTAGAGTGACTCCTAACGGAGGGACTTACAATCCATGTGTTGAGTAATTATACATTATATATTATTTATCCTGTCCCTAGTTTATAACAAAATGTATAATGATATATGTATCTTTTTACTCATTATATTATTAATCACATTAAAAACTAATATGGTCAAAAATTTATAATTCAATATATTTAAAAAGTTACTGAAGAAACTCAAAAGATAGTTTAAAAAAATAAATATTTCTTAATTAATAATTAGTAGAATATACCTAATGAAAAATGCTTAAAAAATCTACCAAAATTAATGAAATATTGTAATTAGTGGGTTTATCCCTAAGTGTGTATACTGCAAGTTAGGGAAATATATATTTTTTTCTTTTTCAATTTTTATCAACAAAAACTTTAAAATCCCAACATAACGCGGCGGAGTCGACTCCGTACACATATAACTGACCTTACTTTGCACCAGACGCAATCTGCTGCTGTCGTTGCACCGCGACTCTAACACCCTCCGGCTTCACGACATCCAGCAGGCACACAACGACCCCAACAGAGCTGTCAACATCACGGATGCTACGGTGAATATTTCAAACGTCTATTAGGATTTAATGCTATCTTTAAGCTCTAATGAATGTCAAATTTATCCATATAAATTAATGTCGCTTTAATTAATATTATAAATATGTTTGAAGTCACAAATCGACGCCCAATGTTTCGTTATGTATAACTTAATCTTTCGAACCTACTAATAGTAATGTTGCATCAAGTAAAAGTAACTCAATGTTAAATACAGTAAAATCCAATTATATAAATAAATAAAAATGCCTTTTATTGCCGAAAACGAGATACACTTTTCAAGATTATAACATAATTTGTTGTTTGGAAGCATACAGATGTTGAATGTTTTTGTATTTATATGTATGCTTAGTGCTTTATTTTTCATTATTCTTCTTCTTTTAGTGCCCAATATTTCCTCCAGCCATTCTCCTGTTAACTTCTCCGGAGTTTAAGTTTTTTGGGGATATACATACTTCTAATCACAAGATAGGCTCCGCTCCGGTTTGTTATTACTTTAGTTTTAACTGTATTAATATGAGTCCAACAGCTTGTAAGGATTTTGTAGCAGGTCTATATCATCGAATAACTTTAAATGATTTAAACGGCTTCTCCATCACGGCAATAAACAGGTTAGGAGACAACGGATATCCTTGCCTAACTTTTCTACATATAAAAAAAGGATCACCACGTAGAACCCAATACTTTTGCTTTGATAATACTTAAAAGGTTCGGTATTCGCAGGAGGAGCAAGCGGCCGCGGCTATAGAGGCAGAACTGGAGGAGTACGAGCGCGGGCCGACCGCCATAGAGCGGGACGTGACGCCCACGCCGGTGGGACAGCCCGCACAACCCGGACAACACGGACAACTCGGACAACTCGCCGGACAACCGCTCGCCTCCTTCTGCTGGCATGCCGCGCACGAGGCGCGGCTGCTCGCCGTCGGGTGCAACGGTCAGTGGCATTTCCTTAAACGTCGTATTTACAATTGTGTTTTAGCAATGTTTTATCGTCTTTCTCAGTTTGTTCGTTTTTTTTTGACGTCGCTTATGTTCATACAGGTATAAAACAAGTTTATATATACCCCCTTCACATTCAAATGCTTAATTCCAGTCCACACTATATGTTCATAAAAATATAAATTACCAGCAACAGTATGGAACTAATTTTGTGGTTTTCATTATTTATTCATATCACGGGGATGACATTAAATTTTTTTCGGATCGATAAATTTAAGCGATCGCACTCCCGACAAATTATGTAAAGCTAAAATTCATCGATCTAGGGTTATCAAATAATAACAACAATAATGAATTTATTTTAAACGAACAACATTACAAAAAATGTGTATGTACATTCATATTATTGATCTGTAACAAGTTATTCGTGGGAGAAATCAATTAAACCGAAATGAAAAGTGAACGCCCTGCCCGTTGTCGCTCCCGGGCTAACACGTCACGACCACAAAATTGTTATCGCTCACGGTCGCGACAGACGCCGGCCGTCATCTATAACACGATTGACACGGAAGCTCTATATAACGTGGGCGCGCGCAGGCAGCGTGAGCGACTACACGGTGTGCGAGCGCGTGACGGTGGCGTGGGGCGCGGGCCCGCTGGCCTGGTCCTGGGGGGGCGCGCTGCGCGTGCTGCCCCCGCCCCCGCCGGGCCCCGGCGCCCCCGGCGCCCCCGCAGCCCCCGCCGCCCCCGCGCTGCTGGACGTCTCGCACGTCATGAGGCGCCGCGCCATCACCGACTACGGGCTCAAGGTCAGCAGGACACGCACACACACACACATACACCACAGTCAAACAAACTGCTTATCTTTAGTGATTGCAGTCCGGTCGGATTCTACCAGATTTCCCTCTTATACCTATATAAACGTTTCGACTGAACTTTTTTCGTTCTAGCCTATGTGAAAAAAAAGGAGAAATTGGACGAAATCAACTTCATTATGAACAAATTAAATTTTTGAAATTCAGAATCTTGAAATTTGGTACGAAGCTACTTTTTAGAGCACACAGATAAAGAAAGTATCGCGAAAACCCTCAATTTCGACATACATTACATATTGAAAATATTTTTAATAAATACCCACAAGTTTGTACGGAACCCGCGGTGCGGTCTTTAATTATTATAATATGGATATCAAATAAGAGGTCTCAATGAGTACGTTCCAAATATACTTTATCTACTCTCAAATCGAAAAATTCGAATTACGAATTCAAAGATGATTCTATACATACGCACTTTATAAACGCAAATACATAAAATTAAAAATAAAACTCATTATAGTACCGCCAACTGTATCATGAAACTCATTATAGTACCGTTATCTTTTTTTATTCATTAAACTAGTCTATTGTTTTAGGCTGAATATGAAAAAAAGGCGCACGCACGCTCAGTTCGAACTGTGAAAAAAATTCCGCACGTATAAATTACTTCCTTGTAACCTACCTACTTTGTTTATACTATGTTGATAAACAGACTCTCGTGATTTAATACCTCTTCTTATGTGACAGTTGCATAAACTTCTATTGTATACATTTACTGTTTACTAATAGTATAATAAAAAAACACGACTGTCAAAATGAAACTGATAATAAAAGAAACAAGTTGTATTATGACTTGACTTAGCAAAAATGTCATTGCAGTTATGGGGGAAGGGTTTTCTGATTTTAGTAGTGTTTTTATTTTTAAATATATATTTTTTTAATAGCTTCATCTTTTCTTCCCTCCCATCTATTTATTATCACTAAGAAGTAATTGAGCGGCTCTTATTAACTTCTAAGGTTTAAAAATTGTATTTAGTGTTACCTTTGCCAAGATACTTTGTACAATTAATTGAAAAATGGAACGTTCTTATGCTATTTCATTGGAATGTACCAGATTGTAAGGGTGATACAAACTAAACCGATTAGGAAAAACACAAATTAAAATATATTTCCTGGAGATTGACGTCTGGCTTTTTTGTAATGTCGATGCTGGAAAATTTCACAGCCGGATGCGAGTAGACTACCTATTGTAGTGTTAGCAATCAGCTGATGTGGCCTTGTGGAAATGTTTAAAGTTTTGTTTTTCTGATGCCGTCTTTTAAATCTTAATAAAGAGGTAAAGTTTTCATCTTTGTTTGTTTGTTTGTAGGGCGTAATCTACGGAAATACTGATATTGTAAAATATAAATTGTAAGTACGATTTACTTTTGCAAAATTGCTACTCATAAAAATCTGTGGATTACAAAAACTGATAGTGGTTTAACGTGTTTGTAAGAATGTGTTAAAATACTTTTTCCAAAATAGTGAAGTGTTAAATTGTCATATTGTTTGGAGTACCAAAAACTACGCTAAACGTATACCTAAAATTACTTAGTGCACATCGAAGCGTATCACTCTTTGCAGATTTAGCAATATAAATGGATGGACGTACAACCGGTTGCACAAACGTCCATTAACTCTTAATGATGATTTTTGAATACTCTACTTCGAATGAATGTTCAAAATTTGAAAATTAGAATCGGTAATGTCGTTTTAATTTAATTTTTATGGACATTTGTGCAATGTGATGTTGATTTACGTTATATAATTCGCAAAACTATGACATTGCGAATGTAGAGATCTAAGAACAAACGTTATAGCATTTGTGTGTCGGCAGCCGGATTTGTGGCAGAATGCAGACCTGGCGGACGACGAGGATCTGAGTGCGCTCTGGCACTTCCTCGCTCTGAGCAAGTCACTCGTCGAAGATGGTACCTAATTTTATTTATTTATTTAATGATTTAAAATATTATTAACATTTTTCTATAGACATTTTTAGTGTTCCATACCCAAAGAATAAAACGGGAACCCTTTTACTAATGCCCGTTTCCACTAATCTAGAAGAAGGCATAGCTTAACTAGAAATCGCTTAATATTAAGAATAGCTTAAGCAGATTCGTCGTTTCATTAAACCTGTAACGTTAGGTAATGCCTTACTAAGCACTTTCTCAGATTGGCAACGTTTATCTATGATTTTGCATACCTCAGTTCTTGTTTTTTTTTTAATGTATGACCTATTTGCGTTTACACGATTCCGCCAATGTCAAGTTAGTGGTGTTTCCACTTAAAGAGACGTTAACAACAATATATATTTTATGGTGAAAAAATATGCGTGATTATTGACACGAGCTCCCAAGCCTTCATTACCCATATATAAAAATGAAAATAATCTCATGGTCTATAATGATGACAACATACTAAATTGATTTTATCTTTTGTGGCCGAATCCGTTTTGCCACATCCGCCACATCCGTTATGGCCGAAGAGTAAATGAATTAAAATGTATTTAATCGTAGATGTATTAAAATAATTAAAAGTCCCCGCAACGTTTTCATATAATAAGGGACCTGCAAACACATTCCCGTTTTATAGTTCACCCTGTACATTGTGTGCAGAGAGAGAGATGGTCTACCAGCAGGACAGTGATATTGTGGTTGCGCAGGATGTATCCGCAGCGTGGGGTCCCGGCATCCGGGCGTGGTGGGCGTGATTCGCGCGGGGGCGGGGGCGGGCGCGGAGGCGGGGGAGGGGGGCGCGCTGTACCGCTCCGAGCCCGCGCCCTCGCTGCTGCCCGACCTGCCCCACCGCCGCGTCACGCTCTACAGGTACACGCGCACGTCACAGGCATAAACACGTGCACGCTCACATCTCACACTATTCTGCTTCGATGATGACGAGGGCCAAAAATTACACGCCACAGGAGGGCCGACGGACCCTCCGGCCCTCCACTCCGCGAACGCGTATCGATTACCGAACGAGCGCCGACGCTCAGATCGGCCACGGTATTTCGATCGAGACAGACGACGGCGGCGATTCGAAATTTACGTGAATTTATTTATCGAATTTATATCACGAAATAAACGTACGGTCGTGCAGGAGCGCGGAGCGCACGCGCGCGCTGTCGCTGTGCGGGTGGGGGTGGGGGTGGGAGAGCGCGGGCGCGGGGGTGGAGCGCGCGGAGGCGGAGGGCACGCCGTGCCGCGCGGCCGCCATCGCCGCATTCCACCTGCGGCTGCGGCACGCGCTGGACGTGCTGGCGCGCGCGCGCGAGCCGCAGCTGCGCGTGGCGGCGCTGGCGCTGGCCGGCCTCAGCGACGACCGCCTGTGGCGCGACGCGCTGCTGGCCGCCGCGCCCGCGCTGCCCGACCCCTACCTGCGCG